GTCACTTTTACCCCTTACCTTTTCATACCCTACCTATCACATCATACCTTTTTACTAATAATCTACCCATCAAATTCTACTTTTACCTATCACATCAAAGGACATTTTTGGAAATTCAATACCAAAATACATTCCCTTAAATCTCTTCAAAAAGCAAAACATTCCATGTTTCATGGGACAGAGGGAGTATATAATAATAATAATTATTATTATTATTATTATTATTATAATTGTTTGGTTTGAGTCCATTTTACTAATTTTTTTGTCTTTCGGTCGTTTTTGGTGGATTGATATATCAAAGCCCAAGATCAAAAGCTCAATCAATGGATGCATGGAGTCGTACTCGACCTGATGATTCAATGTTGTCGAATGCCAAGTTTAAGTCGTGTATCCAGGATTTGTGATCGGCTGGTCGATCACGGGTCCGTGGGGCATAGCGGGTGGTTCGGGGTCGTTTAGGTCCGGTGGACAATATAGTTTGAGGGCTAGTACACCCTTTTGGGCGAACACGCGATTAGGACGTGTGTTATTAGACCATGCTAGGGTGTCACTACATGAGTGCATCCATGCTTCGCTCAGACAAACACAGACGATAATTGTCTGTGTCGCGATTAGCATTTTCCGTGTTATTAATTGGCTGTTTTTCGTCCACAAATATCTTTCCTTGGCCCCATGAGTGAGATAAAAGCTGTAATCATTTTTTAATTATTGATGATGTCAAATGGCCAAAGAATATCCGTCAAAACTTCCCTTTTGTTGGGAAAAATGACAACACTACTTTTAAGTCTAGCCGATTTTTCAGATGTAAAATTAGTGGCAATATGATAAAAGTAAGAATGCTGCTTATAAATTAGTCAAAATTTTTTATAAGTTTTTTTTAATTTATAAGTTATATCCTGATGATGTGTTTATAGACTGACTTACAAAAATTAGTAGGTCTTACTATACCTATTATTTTTTTAGTAAGTTTTTTGTTTTTTTATTTTGATCAGATTATTTACAAAACTATCTCTTACTTTCACGAAAAATATTTAACTTATAAGCAAATTTATAAGTTTGGAAACTATTTATCAAAAATACGGAGTACGTGAATAGACAACGGCAGTGAGAAAACTCACTTTATTTATCAAAAGCCCTAGCCTCTTAACATATCTTAAAAAGCAAATTAGACAAGTTGCACTTTTTTTTATATAAGAACCTCCTTTTGAGATAAATCTAGCAAGTACGTTTTATATATAAGTTACTCTCAATTTGTTAAATGGCAATTATTGTAAGATTAAAATTTTTAGATTTCATTTCACTTTAATTTTATAAAATTAAAAGTTGAAATTGATAATCTTTTAAATAAAATTGTGAACAGTAATTAAATAAAATTTATATTAGATATTGAGACAAAGATAATTTTATTAGATTTATCTTGTAAATATTTTCTAATTGTTGTTTTATCTAATTAATAAACTATGTAAGTTTATATTCTACATTTTTTTAATCCGTGGTTCTAAAAAAGTTATAGTTTCAACTTTCAACTTTTAAAAAAGTTTTGTGGCTCAATATTGTTGTTCTATTCTCTGCACCACATATAAACCGGCGATTTGGATTTTAATTATATTTGTATACTGTAATACTCCCTCCGTCCCAAAAAAATTTACACGTTTCAAAAAAATTGTGTCTCACAATCTCTTACCCATTTATATTAAAAAATCACTTTTACCCCTTACTTTTTCAAACCCTACTTATCACATCATAGCCTTTTCCTAATAATCTACACATCACATCCTACTTTTACCCATCACATCAAGGGCATTTTTGGAAAGTCAACACAAATTTATCCCTCCCTTAATTTCAACTTTAGTCAAAATGGGTAACACTTTATGGGACGGAGAGAGTATTTTTTTGTAATATTAACTTTATTATAATAAAGTATTTGTTCTAATATAAACTTTCTCGACCTATTAAGAATAAAGACTCAACTTTTCTTACTGGGATTCAAACTTGTGATCTCTAATTTGGGAGAGTCACATATGTTTACCTTTTCTCTCTTTAATTTTCAAGTTCTTCTCTTGAAAACATATTAGCCAAGTAGGACTAAGGTCTGCATATGTACACACTTTCTCTACTCCCTACTACTACCCCGTCCTAGTGTTTTTGTCAAGTTTGACTTTTTCGTGTTGAACTGGACAAACTTAGAACTCCAATTACTCTCAATTTATATTGCATATTAGTATAATGAAATACAATTTTGAAAGTTCTCAATACGATAAATATAATAAAGTCATTTTTATGTTAAAATACATTATAGTTTTTATTTAATTGAAGCTCAAAGTTTGTCCAATTTGACTCGAAAAAGTCAAACTTGACAAATACACTGGGACGGATGGAGTATTTGTATAATCATGCTCCTTCCGTTTGGAAAATCCTTTCTCATTTTGACCAAAGGGAAATTAAAAATGTGTCAAATTGTAGTTGACTTCCAACTGTGTCCTTGATGCGATGGATAGATTATTAGGAAAAAAATATGATGTGATAGGTAGGAAAAGAAAAAAATAAAGGTAAAAATGATTTTTTATTAGAAAGTGGAAGTATTTTGATGAAAGAGAAAAAAAATGAAAGAAAAAGTATTCTGGTGAACGCAAGGAGTATATACTAGTTTCAAGACCAGATCTTATTTGTATTTTTTTTCATTCATTCAAAGTGTTATTAGCAAAAAAAATTGATAAACTCTTTAAACGACGAAATTAACATTGTACGATCATTTATTTAACATTTCGTGTACATAATATGCATACATTAATTTCATATGGTAGTGTTCGAAAAAATAACCCTCAAACAACAAAATTCACGAATAATATTAGTAGAAAAATGTGCAAATTAAAAAAATAAAAGATTGAACATGCAATATTTTTTTTACACGAAAATCCCTTTCGACTAATGTAAAAGAGCCTTGGTCCTTTTGCATAAACTTTTCCAATACAATATCATTTGAAATACAATATAATCAACAATAATACGGGGTACAATAATAATTATTATTATTGAGAATTTTCTCTACACTAGAAAATTTTCACCCACTACTACAAAAAAACGTTAAATCGACTTACAATAAGTTAGTTTTAGTGTACTCTTGTGACTACATACATAGTTTGTCTTCTTTATGAATATTTTGGATTAATCGTTGTATGTCTTTGTTCTTGTTGTAGGTGTTTCATTCTATTGCGTCATACACGGAAGCTGAATTAGATGAGATTCGTGAGTTGTGGTCCGGTAGTTTTCTTGATGATTTAGTTTAAGTTTCATAAGTTTGTATTGAATTGTATATCTTCTTTGATAAAATGAATATATAGTTTTGTTATTATATTATGGTGTAATAATATGAGTAGTTGGTTAAAAGTTTTCTTATTTGGTTTTGGTGTGTAACTGTGTATGTTGTTATGATGTATTGGCTCTGTTTGCAGAAATTTTTCAGATGTAATTTTGTTCTATTCTATTCTGTTCCAGTGTGCTCTATAAAAAAGTGGAGAATTTACCCAAATAGTATTAAAAAATAGTGAGTTTCTCAATGTAGTAGTGTAGTACCATATATTTTTATTTTTCAATGTAGTACCACTGCTTATTATCAACTGGTCATTGTTCAAGTAAATGTCTACCGTCACTGGACATTGTTCAAACTAAATGTCCACCAATACTGGACATTGTTCACGTGAATAGACATTATTTAACTACTCCGTATTATTTAGGGAATAAAAAAGTTCAAGTACGACATTGGAAATTAACATACTCCCTCTGTTTCACAAAACTCTTCCTCTTTCGTTTTTTTTGCTTTCCACAAAACACTACCACTTTCTATTAAAAAACCACTTTTACCCCTCCTTTTTCATACCCTACCTATCACATCATACTTTTTCACTAATAACAAAACTATCCCATCTTACTTTTTCCCATCACATCAGGGGCAAAATTGGAAAGTCAACCAAAATTTCACTTTCCTTATTTTTCCCCAAAGTCAAAACCGGAAGGGTTTTGTGGAACGGAGGGAGTATGTTTTAGCACTATTTTGTGTAAATTTCACAAAAAAAATACCTTTTAAATCGGTTGTTTTCCAACAACCGATTCAAAAAGCCCCCCCCACACCAGATTTGGCGCCAGTCGAGGGAGGCACTTTTTGAATCAGTTGTTTGAGAACAACCAATTCAAAAAATCTCTCCCAAAACTGGCGTTAATTTTGGGAAAGACTTTTTGAATCGGTTGGACCACTTGGACAACCAATGCAAAAAATGTTTGCATCAATTGGATCGCTATCTTTTACATCGGTTGAGAACGAATTAAAAGATCAAAAACAACCGATTCATAAAGTAATTTCTGTAGTCGTGACCTCTCTTGGAGCTAGAATATATTTCTCCACTGTCTCCTTGCATTCCCATCTCCCTCCCTATCCCTTAATTTCTACTTTCTACTAATGGGAGAACTCCTTTTTTTTTCACTACACTCAACATTGTCTAAAATAGCCATACCACACCAAAGAACAGTAAGAAGAAATAAAAATGTGGGCTAATAATGAATCATGGCATTTCTTCTTTTGTTTGTTTTCTTTCTTTCACACTCACGCATTTCACATTACATTTTCTTTCTTTTCTCTTTTTTTTTTTACTTTTTTTTCCCACTCCAGCACTAAAATAAACTCCAACATTTATAATTAATATTTGGTAAATAAAAAAAATTCTCAACATGTAGGTGCTCTAAGTTAGCATATGCAAAGTAATAAACGCGGTGAATTTTCTTTACCGCGCAAATAAACACGTGCTACGATAAACTTCGTACTTCATAACATTGAGATCGATGAAATTTAATACTATTTTTGTCATTTGATTAAAAGAGAAGATCCGGAGGTCCTCCGATTCTTGCCGTTAGTCAGCCTTCGATTTTTCTGGATCCGCAACTAACCGTACATTCGAATAATGTATATGTTCACTAGGTAACCAAGTAACCTATGAAGCGTGAAGTGCCACAGCCCACTGTATTGTAATTTAAGGCTGGCAATTAAAATGAATGAACTCATTTCCCTCATTAACAAGATTCATGTGAATTTACTATATTTAAAGTTTTTCCATATCTAATAAATTAATTGTTTAAAGTAATACTTTTAGATCTTGACATGCTCCATATATATATTGTACACATTTAATTATGATGCAATAATTGAGTGTTACCATAGTAGCCTATATATATATATATATATATGCCCACTCTTTCAGTTCAAATTCACCACCCATGGAAAAGACTACTAGAGAAAGAAAACAAAACCCACATTGTTCTAGACCTCCACCGGAGCCGCTGCGGAGAACGATCTCCGACGCGGGACCCGGTCTTCCACAGACACTGCCTGCAGAAGCAGCGCCTGTGGCAGTGGAGGAGGCGAAATGCGAGTGTTGCGGGCATTCAGAGGAGTGCACGGCGGAGTACGTGAAGAGGGTGAGGGAGAAGTGCGCCGGAAAGTTGCTTTGCGGGCTGTGCTCGGAGGCGGTGGAGGAGGAGACGTGGAAGAACGGCAGGCGGCGGGAGGCGGCGCTGCAAGAGCACATGAATGAGTGCCTTAGGTTTAATAGGGTTGATAGGGTATACCCTGTGTTGTGTCAAGCGGAGGCCATGAGAGAGGTCTTGAAGAATAGTAGAGGTAAGGCCCTTAGCCCTAGAGGCCTTAAGGGTTGCCCTAAAGTTGGAGGGTTTGTTAGGACTTCAAGTTGTATCCCATCATTTGTATGCAAGGATACCAAAAAATAATTAAGGTTCCTTTATTATTTTACTTTGCATATTTTCTATAACTCTATTAGTACATGAATTAAAGGGAGCAATTAATTTACTGCTATGTATAAAATCTAAGTTTCCTAACTTATATATGTATCTACCTAAAAAGCTATATATGTAAATACTCGCTCCCTCCAAAATTTTTAGTATGATTTTTTTAAGTACATAATATTTTGAATGAACTTCGACAAATATTATGTTTACATTTATTTAATTCTTAGTTGTATTAAAAAAATTATAATAGACGATTATTTATGAATAGAAAGAGTTTGTTACAATGTACATGTCAAATTTGAAGTCAAATATTATTAATTATGGTTATTTAAGTTTGATTTTTTACAGTGATGAAATATTATAAATTATGGCTATAGATAAATATAATCTAAAATCAGACGGAATGATTATATGAAAATAATTTCATTATTCTTTTTTTGAAAAAATGATTTCGTTATGTTATTTGTAATATGTTTTTTAAGTTTAATTGTTTCTCTATATGCTAGAGTTCCAAAGAACAAAAATAATCAAATTTACACACTTAATTACTACGGAGTATATTGAATTTAAATTTAAATTTTCTTATTATTTTAGACTAGATAATTATATTGAGGTTTGCAAATAACAAGTTCGTGATCTTTTTATTTGTGACTTTAATATTAATGTCATCTTAAATTCCTAATAGGGAGTACTTGCAAATTAAACAATTTTGCACGGAATATGTATTAAAGAAGGAAGCTATATTTAAATAAATAGCTTAACGATACGTGTTAAAATGTGAGGACAAACCTTTAAGGTCCAATATTGTTAGATGTTCATTGTTCTAATTAATTATTTGATATTTTTAAATTGAATATTAATTTATATATTTCAATATTCAAATATTGGTTAATTAAAAATGAAATTTGGCACTAATTTTAAAGTGCAAGTCCTTTGCAAAATTCAAAATAGAGCTCAATACGTAAATTTTGTCCAGGGCTAATATCACTTTTTCATATTTTTAAGCGGGCACGGGTTATCTTTCTTTTAAAAAACTGCATGTTTTAATGTTTTTTTTATTCCGGGCCTAACTCTTGAGCCCTCTATATGAATTTTTTTGTAGCTATATACTAAAGCAAATTATTTTTATATATCTAGATGTATTTATTTTTATGTACATTTGATAAGAATTACCGGGGTATATATATAATTTGTAAATGGTCATATGCTAATTTTATGATGTGTTCATCAAATATTTTGAATATGTATAAAAAAATAAGATGGGTAAGGCTAAATCCACACCTCATTTGACTAAATTCACATCATTTAATAATAAATGGACAATTTTGCCCTTCACTTCTTTCCTTCATTTTTTAATAGTTAAGGGCAAAATATGTCTTTTTCAAATAAATAGAGTGGATTTTGTCAAATGAAGGGTGGATTTAGCAATAACCAAATAAGATAATACACAAAATCAAAGATATAACAAAATTGGCAAATTCTATGATGGACCTAAGGTTCAACATGAACTTACATATAATGCAAATAAACAAATCCTAACTATCTTTATAAGCATTGTTTTAGTCAAAAATTAAAAAAATATAGAGAAGGTGCACAAAAATGCTATGCACCCAAGGTGCACCAAAGGAGTACTCATAAAAATCAAACACATATGTAGTATTTAAAAAAATAATGATATTTGGATATATCAAATACTCCCTACATCCCACAATTGATTACAATGTTCACTATTCCAAAATCACGATTACTTTGGTTTATATATGTATTTTCATTGATTATTTGATAAAATAAAATATTCTTGTCACGTCTTATTTTGTAAAAGTTTTGATGTAGTTTTTAATATGTAAATTTTATTTTTTATTTATGTCTCAATCTTCAAATAAAATAAATTAAAAAAACTAGAGATCTTTCTTCGTTTGCAAAGACCTTATGTTTAACATAATTGCCTTCCAGCTCAGTTGCCAAGTTATCAGAAATCGAATTCGGGTTTATAAGATTAGAGCATCACTACTCACTTCTCTCTATTCCCTTCCACATCATCCACTTCCAATGCCACATCACTTTCTCCTTCAACGTTCTCTACCCTTCTCTAGTCATTTTATTACTTTTTTAATTATTTTTTTCAAATGACATCTTCTTATTCATAAAAAAAGCATAAATAAAAATATTTGATCAGTCATTTATTCTCTCCAGGGGAATATTATTCTCCCATTGTCATCTCTCCTCTATCCCTTCTCATCATTATTCTCTTTTCCCTTATCTACATCATCTTATTCCCCTTCATTATGCTATAATATCGTACTCCCTCCGTCCCAAATTATTTGTCACATTTCTATTACCAAGACAAAATATCAAGTTTTTTCAATTCATTTTATTTACATATCGGTAAAGAAATAAAAAATAAAAATTACATATAAAAAAACTACATGAAAAGTTCTTCGAAATAAGAGGTGTCAAAAATATTTTATTTTATCAAATAACGAATGAAAACGTAGAAATAAACAAAAGTTTCCGCGACTGTTAAAAAAGCAAATGTGACAAAAATTTTGGGACGGAGGGAGTACATTATATTATACAACTAGATGTTCCCAAAGTTGGGTACAACCAGTAAAAGGAAAGGGAAGAAGTTCGGCGTAAGAGGAAGGGTGGACGACAATCGAAGAAGTTTGGTGTAGGAGGAGAGGAGCCGATGAAGGGAGGGCGACCATTGAAGAAGTTCGGCGAAGGAAAGGCGCACAAACGACAAAAGGAGGTGCTCCGTCAGCCGCTGACGACGTTATCGAGGAAATTCTAGATGTTTGGTCCGGTCAGGTAGGAGAGAAAAAGATAGGGCTATTAAGTGCTGATATGAATTTTATTTTGTTTGAGAATGAACACTACTTTTTTTGAGAATGAATACTTAGAATGAGTAGTGATATTTTATGATATACTCCCTCCGTCCCACTGTCTTTGTCCACTTATCTTTTGGCACACCATCCAATGCACTTCTTTAATCCATTTTATCTTGTAATTTGTATATTAAAAAATTATAGAAATTATATATTAATAATCTATATGTTAAGACAAATCAAACAAGATCACACATGACTATATTTAGGCTTACACATTGAGAGAATTTGATGAGTCAAAGTGCTTAGATGAACAATTCCAAAAGTCAAATGTGGACAAAGATAGACAGAGGGAGTATGAATTTTGAGTAATTTCATAAAAAAAAGAAGCCGATAGGGAAAATCTTCACAGTTTGAAAGCAGCGTGAAGAAATTAAATTGGAAGCAGCAGGAGAGGGAAAGAAAGGTGCGAGTTGATAGCGATTCCCAGGTGCGACTCTTTCTTTCTCACTCGATCTTCCGGGTCGAATCGTTCGTCCAGGGATTCTACCCCGGATCTAACGATCCGAACGAACCTATCTGAGCAAATTCCAATTCCACCGGCCAGATCGAAGGGATGAACAGTAACAGTATAATCACCCTATGTTACGATCTGGATTGCAATTTTGAAAACCTTGGGTTAATCGAAACACGAATCCTCAATCTGAGAGTTTGTGACCAAACATTCCAGAATACCAACTTACATTTTCGAAAATTAGAATGCACCGATTAGGTTTTTGTGTATAACTCGGATTTTTGTCAAGCTATATTTGAACTCTCGTCATATGGTGGTGTGTTATATTTTGGTTTGTTGTTTCAGTGAAGGAGATCATGAAAGTGAAGATTCTGAGTATCCAATAAATGTCACGTCTTTTTATGGCTTCTCAGTCATTAAATAAGTTAAAACTTAGTGAAAAGTTTTAATTGTTTTGGCAAATGATATTTGCTCTGCATATGATTCTATAATGTGTGGTTGATCATGACTGTTGGACTATGTTGAGATATTATTATTTCTTTTTTAAGATGAATTCTCATTTTGTCTATCTTTGTCTTGTATTTGGATTCAGAGTGTGTTTATTTCTCTCATTTTATTTTTGTTTTAAAAATGAAATTTGTAGACTGAAATCATACATTGCATTCAGTGAATGAGTATATGAATTGAATGTTTTAACTAAGTTCTTGAATTTACATCATCTGCACCAGCCTTAGTCCTATTTGGTAAGGCTCAATGACGCCGTGCCCTCCGTCCCAAAATGAAGTTTCCGGGTCGTTTTATGATGTTTGAAATTAAGAAGTTAAATTTATACAGAGTAGTATATTTTAAAATTACATCCAAAGATCTACAAAAGGTGACATAACTGTAAATTTTTACCGAATGAGTAACAAAAAGAGGCAAACAAAGTGGATAAAGTTTGTCGTTGTGGATAGTGAATGAGAACTTCATTTTAGTTCAGAGGGAGTACTTTGGAGGCACTTCTTATCTCAACCTCCAAAAAAGGAATAGTGAGATAAAAAATCAAGAACTGTTTTCGTTGTAGCCACTTTAAAAATATCATGAGATGACAATGAGGTGAGATATTTGCTCATCACGTTTCATTACAAATTAATTACTCCGTAATTACTACAAAACATTTGATTTCTTAAGATGCATTTACTTTTGGTTGCAATGATGTTTACTTCAGATTGTTGTTCTGTACATTATAAACTACTAATGTTGTTGCATTATATTTTTTGTTGGTTCATATTTAATAGTTCCATAAGTACATAGCATTTTATGATATAAGCTCAATTGTTGTTTTTGTGAAAAAAGTTTACCCTTGACTATAAATTTTGCGATGTGCTATTGGGCGCTACAAAAAGAGTATGGCCTTTATCTATCTTCACTTCTATCATGATGTATCTATTTATATTATGTTTAATCAAAGACACAAAATGATAGTTTATGTGGGTTTCTTAAATGTGGACTGCAGATGGCATGCTGTTGCGTCATGGACATGGGATGCGCAGGATGAAACTTGTGGGATATGCAGAATGGCGTTTGATGGTTGCTGTCCTGATTGTAAAATCCCCGGGGATGATTGCCCATTAAGTAAGCTTCGGGACATCTTACTCTCACTTTATTTTGTGTTGTTCATCTAATAAAATATATACTCTGAATCTTTTAGTACTTACGTTTTTTTAAATTATATTTGTGTCTTTGAGTGGGGACGTCTTTGGAGGGTATGATAAATTAGCTGATTTCAATATGTTCGCAGAATATTGATATAAAATAGAACAAACCCAGTATAATCCCATTGGGGCCAGATGTGTCAAAACATACACAATCTTACCTCAGTACAAAAAGAGGTTGTTTTTGATATAACATCCAGGAAAGGAAACAAGGCCTCCATGACACAATCTAATTGGTCCTATCCGCCAACATTCGATTATACATGCGACAAAGGCCTCTTTTGTTTCAATATTTTGCTTATTACTCCGTATGACTTTGTTCGGGAACAATGCTTGTGATTTTCCTTAGATGATACGGAGTACAAATTAACTATGAAGGTTCTAAAGTCGAAAGTTGCCATTGGATAACATTTGCATTGGTTGTCACACAATGGTCTGCTTATTTGTGTGTTTTTTGTTTGGTATTGCAGTTTGGGGAGCTTGCAACCATGCATTCCATCTCCATTGCATCTTGAAATGGGTGAATTCACAAACTTCTCAAGCTCATTGCCCTATGTGCCGAAGGGAATGGCAATACAAAGGATGATGATGAATTGATGACAAACTTTGTTTTCTCGACACATTTTCTAACTTCTGGGTACGTCTTTGTTCTGTTTAATCGCGGTGGCAATGAGGCGACTATGTCACGTAAGCTAATTTATATGGCTCCAAGATTAGTTGGACGAACGTAACGGGTTATCAAATTGATAGCTGTACACTTAATGCAGAAGTGAAAGACTAAATATGGAAATGCTCTAATTCCAATTCAAATATTTATTGAATTGCGGGACTAAAATTGATTTTTTTCCCCTAGTAATGTGGGTTGAATTGGTTGTGTAAATGTGCTCATTGTAACCATTCTGTCCCAAAGTAAAAGTTACTATTGACACTTTTCATCTTTAGAGGTTACTCCATAAAAAAATATTACCACGATTTGACTTTTCGTGTCAAACTTTTCAAAATTTTGACCATAAATGTTACGGAGTATAAAAATTTGATATATCAAAGCTGTATTTTAGAATGAATCTAATTTTAGTAAATTTACATTATGACTAAATATACTTTTTCACATATTGTGATCAAAGTGTGCCATAATTTAATTAAAAAATGTGATAATCTTTGGTTTTTCCCTTTGGGTTTTTTTCGTTCACCAATCATAGACCAGCAGTGAAATTGACCAAGAAAAGTAGCTTAAGTGGAGTGATCAATAAAATCTCCCTATAAAAGTTTTTCCATTTTCTGTTTCTATTCATCTCAAAGTGATTTTTTCATTTTATTTTAGAAAAAACGATTGTAATAAAAATACATCTTTCTATCATTTTTCATAACTCAATATTTTCTCAACATTTTTTTTAAATTTCCGTAAAATCAAAATGAAAGTTTATAGAAAAGTTATAAAAAATTAAGGGTTTATAAAAAGTTTGAGAATCTAGAATTTTGCAGTTTTTAGTTTTTTCAAGACCACACATTTCTAAGGGCTACTCCCCCGTCCCACAAAACATTTATCCTTTTTTTTTATCTGTCCCAAAAAACTGTTCTCATTTCTATTAAAAAGTCATACCACGTGCCCGTACTAATTCTAAATCTATCTATTACATCACATCTATTCTCTATTAATCTACTTATCAAATGCTTATTTTACACCAAATTAAAATTCATTCCATTTAAATTGTTTAAAAGTCAAAACTAGAAAGGTTTTGTGGGACGAAACAAATAGTTTTTGGTCAACCATTTTATTTAAAAAACTCAAAAAAAAAAACTGTTCAAAATGTTGGTAGACTCGTCTTTGATAATATTAATATTTACTTTTGTAATTTTTATTAAAACACAATTAACAAGAGATTAAAATCCTAATTTATACAATGACAAAACTCGTATGACAATTCCAAAATTGAACCTATTTTAGAAGCATATTTTTCCCATATTTTTTGTTTTGTGTTTCCGACAATGAACTAAGATGTCACATTATTTTCAAAGTGTAACTGTAGATATTTTTCCTCTGATTAAGGCATGAAATCAATTTTATGTTTAACAAAATAATTATTATAATAATAATAATAATTTCGTGGAAGTAGTTCAATTTACTGCATGTGCCAACAGCCAGTGTTTTAATGCGACAATAATGCTTGTGCAATTGATATTTCGTTTTTCAAAATGGAATAGTCAATGAATACATTATATTTTTAGTATTATAAAAAACAATTTCAAATTATTCAGGTCAGATTCGCCTTACTAACCTTGTCTCGAAAAAAATGGAGTACTACTACAGTCCCAGTGTACGTGTCTTGTTTGATTTTTTCGAATAACCACGATTGAACTTTGATATTCACCAAAAGAAGAATTATGAGCACATTGTAGATTAGAGCACTGGAAATGTTCGTAACGACCGGAGCGTTTTTGTTGGTTTTAACGCTAAAGGGGCGTCAAACACCGCCCCCTTGGGCTTTATCGGGGCTTCATCACTTATGCGTCAAAGGTTTAACGGAGAAAGAAGAGAAAATGTGTGGGTCCCTCCATTAAAAAAATACTCACTTTGTACTTCCTCCGTCCCGTTTTAAATTGTCTGTTTTGACTTTTGGGCATATTTAAGAAAAAGAAAAATAAATTTTATTTTCTGGAATTACCATTACTTTTTAGGAGGGGTGACGCTAAAAGAAGAGTGACTAATTTTATTAGTAGTTTAGGTATTTTACTCTTAAAAATTTACAAAAACAAGTAACAGTCAACTTATTTTGGGACGGAAAAAAAAGCAAACATGCAATTTAAAATGGGACAGAGGGAGTATGTAAGAAAGGAAAATGTGTGTTTGACTCTAGGGTTGTGCTATTGTGATTTCAAGGTGTATAAGTAGAACGCGAATCTTCTCACATATTTTCTAGATATTCATAATTATATTTTTTTTTATTTTCAAAAGGCTCGATTTATTTAATCACTTTATGTATTAAGATTCAAAAAATGAGCATAAATCTAAGACTTAGGAAAAAATTTGTTTTGATTCTATAAGTATTAATCAAAATTTAAATATCCCCACATGTATTCTTACTTCAACTTTTATCTTTAACTATCCAAACTGGAAACTAGGCACAAAATAATACTCTCAAGTCTCACTACTATACTTCAGCCTTCAACTTCAAATCTCGAGATTCCAACTTTTGAATGCTAGTCTATAGCTTTACTTAGTTCATAAAAATTTTTCCTTACATGTTATTTTTTAGTATTATTAATTTTATTATAATATAAAACCCTATAAATTTGAGGTTTGAAACATTGACCTCCCATTTGCACGGAGAGTTCATACTACTTTGTAATAAAGTCAATAGTATTCAAAAATATTATAATTATGATGTTTGTGTGAAGTAATTTCAATTCTACTGAGTATTTAATTAGTCATTTCAATCCCAAAATTGTATTACATCAATATTTGCACAAAATAAGAGATGACATAATTATACTTCTTTCGTCCTAATTTATTCTTCTCATTTGAAAGAACGTGAAAAATGTAACTTCTTTTAAAATGATTTTATTTACAAATTGTTACAAATATAAAAAAGTACACATTACACTGATCAAAACTATATATATTGAAAGTTCTACCCTTCAGTCCCGTTTTAAATCGTCCGTTTTGACTTTGGGACATATTTAAGGAAGAAAAAAAAATAGAGTTGATTTTTCGAAATCGCCATTACTTTTTAGGAGGGGTGACGATGAATGAGAAGATAAGGCAGAGAAGAGTGACTTATTTTAGATGTAATTTAGGTATTTTACTCGTAAAGTTTACAATAACAAGAAACAAACAACTTATTTTGGGACGGAGAAACAAGGAATACGGACAATTTAAAATAGAACAGATGGAGTACAAAACAGAAGCTGACAAAAATATTTTATTTTTTAAAATGATCAATAAAAACATGCCGACAAACATAATTTATCAAGATACCGTAACACTAACTAGAAAGAGTAATTTGTCCCAAAATAATTTTCTTGATATATATATATATATATATATATATATATATATATATATATATATATATATATATATATATATATATATATATATATATATATATAGACACACTCTCTCTCTCTCGAAAGAGTTAAATTAGTTTGGAAGTAATAAATGAGGAGGAATAGCTGGTTTGAACATGTCAACTATTTGTTCGAGTCATTAGGCTTGCAAACGATAATGTTCACATTAATTTAACCATTTTTCGTTATTAATTTTACAGAAATAATTTATATAATCCGACAATACCCCTCAGCCATGATTCTTTTTTTAAAAAGAAAAAAGTAAATAAATAACTTTACTTCGCTCGCTCACATTTATCTCTCTCACTATTCTCCCCCTTTATCTCTCCTTCTTTGGTTACTTTTTTCTGTTTTGCTTTTCACCGGAAAGCCACTCAATATATGGAAACGCCGGAGCTCATCCACGGTGGTTTCTGCGGCGGCGCCGCCGGAGAGTACTCGCCGGAAAACCTGCTTCTTGAGAAAAATGGGGACAACTTTATTGTGGAGGAGCTCCTCGATTTGCCCGACGACGAAGACGAGGAGGAGGGCACAGTCAGTGACGGCGGGCCACTCGACGCCGCCACCACAGATTCCTCCGCCGTCACCACCGCCGCGGACAACTCCAGCAACTCCAGCGATGCCACGTGTCACCACCACCTCGACGGCCAGTTTCCCGGCGACATCTCCGTTCCGGTAATCAAATTTACTTTATTTACATTTTTATTCGTTTCAAAACAATGTTACACTGACGCGTTAAATTATACTAAAATATCGTCACACTTTTGATTTTTTTGTTAAATTGTGGCACTCTTTGAATGCGAATTTTGGAAAAAGTATATTTAATTATAATGTAAATTTAGTAAAATTGAATTTATTTAAAAATATAATTTTGAAATTTCAAATTTTTATAATATTTAAACTATATTTAATTTATGGTCAAAAGATGAAATATTTTGACCAAAAAATCAAATTGTAGCAATTTTTAAAGACGGATGGAATATATAAACTATGCACAAAAATTTTGTTTTTAAACAAACAAAATTTATCAGCATAATTAGAAATATAGAGTATGGTGTAAGTGTACTAAACATATAAATTTCCTTTCAAAAAACATTACGCAGTTTAATATTAAAAAATAAAATTTATATATTTAAAACTGAACAAATTTTTTTGGAAGATAAGTGACGTTTTAAATAGTTTATTTTATTAAATGATAAATAAAAATGTATAAGAAAAAAGAGAGAGTATAATTTTACCATTTTGGTCAGTTTTTTTATTTGAAAGTTATATAAAAGAAAAAATAAATGGACTATTATGAATAACATGTTACTTATTTTTAAAGGGAAAATGAGATTTTTTTCCTGAAACCTAAAGAGTAACATATTCTCGTATTACATATGGATAAAAAAGTACAGTCTGTATGTCACAAGTGATAAAACACACCAAAGTACGGAGTACCTTATTCGTCAACAATTTACTCTTTTCTTGTCCAAATAAATTATACTCTTTGATCAATGTATAAAATTTAATTTTCTCAAATTTATTCCATATTTAAATTATTTAAGAAATTAAAAACAAAAATTACATATTAAAAATTATACCAAAATTTATATGAAAGAAAAGTGAACAAAATATTTTACTTTATCAAATGATAAGTAAACACATACAAATAAACAGAGTTATCGAAAGACTCTAATAGTAATTACTCCCGCCAATAAAAATAAGAGTAAAACGTAAAGAAAATTATCAAAATTTGAGATTCATGTTTTTGTTCCAAAATAGGATTTAAATATCAATATTATCAACATATAATCCTTAAAAATTGTTACGATGTTAACACCTATTTTGGGGATGGAAAATATGGAACTCATAGTTTGGTATTTTTTCTTTGTTTTACTCTTGTTTTGGGTTATTTCTTTTTCCTTTGTAGACTTATGACCTTTTAATTTCAGCAAAAATAATAATAAAAATAATTAACTACGGAGTATGTTTTGGGTAATTTCAGACTTGTGACTTTTTATTTGTTTATTATTTTACTATCTTTGCTTGACTTGCTTTTTATTATTTTAATATCATTAAATTTTATATAAATTAGTTTCTTTTTCCAGCAGAACGTAACTTTATTTTTGTTTATAAACCTTCCAACAAAACTCTTTTTGAAACGGATGGACTGATGGAGTAATTAATTCTTTTTGTTGGGAATTTTTTTTATCAATTCTTTAAAACCAACGTCAAAATTAAACATCATACTTCATGCGTCCCGAAATTTTATTTCCATGTTCATTAATATCTACATTATACATAGATATCTTAGATAAAAATATGATATTTTAAAATTAATATATATATTGTTATTAAATTTATATGGAAATACGAAAGATTATTTAGAATATTGGGGTCAAACTTTAGTTGACTAAAGAAGCCAAACAAGGTTAATTAATTTATTGGGTACTCCGTATTACTACCTCCGTCCCGTGAAACATTTCCCCTTTCTTTTTTTATCCGTCCCACAAAACACTTCTCATTTCTATTAAAAAGTCACTTTTACCCCTTACTTTTTATATCCTAACTATCACATCATACCTTTTTACTAATAATCTATCCATCAAATCATACTTTTACCCATCACATCAAAGGACATTTTTGGAAATTCAATACCAAAATACGCTCCCTTAAATCCCTCCTAAAAAGCAAATGTCCCATGTTTCACGGGACGGAGGTAGTATTTAAGACAAAAAGGTAGATTGTGTCAAATGTCTAAACTAAAGAGGAACTAAATCCCTAATTAAATGCATTAATGGCTGGATTATTGATCTATTTTTAAGTTTATAATATTATTATTTTTATAACCAAATTATTTTTTATTTATTTTTAAATAGTACGAGGAATTGGCAGAGTTGGAGTGGCTGTCAAACATTGTTGAGGAACCATTTTCAAGTGAAGAAATGGAGAAGATGCAACTCATCTCTGGAATCAAGGCCCATCATAATGCTAGTACTAATGATGGACCTTCCCAAGCCCAAATCTCCACGGCCCATTGGCCCAATCCGGTGCCCATGTTCCGGCCCGACCTGTCCGTCCCGGCAAAGGCGCGCAGCAAGCGCCCCCGTGCGGTACCGAGCATATGGACGTCGTCGAGAATCCCGACCGTCCCTCCACCTGACACCGCGGGTCCAGCGACCGGCGTGGCGTCGTCATCCGCAAAGTCCGACTTCGGGCCGGGCCAAGGGAGCAAGCGGCCGAAATCCACGGCGAAAAATAAGGAAAGATTCGTTGCCACCAGTGCAGAAGGGCGGAGGTGTCTCCACTGCGACACGGACAAGACGCCGCAGTGGCGGACCGGGCCCATGGGCCCGAAAACGCTCTGCAACGCGTGCGGAGTGAGGTACAAGTCGGGCCGACTTGTGCCCGAGTATCGGCCCGCGGCGAGCCCGACGTTCGTCGGGACCAAGCACTCGAATTCCCACCGCAAAGTGATGGAGATGAGAAGGCAAAAGGACAGTATGACTCAGGCCCAACATCAAGTCCTCCATCAAAATCCAGATTTGATGATATCATATGTTTTCCCAAATGACAATGATTACCTGATCCATCAACATATTGGGCCTGACTGTCCAAAGTTGATCTAGGAGTTGTTTGGGCCAGATTATTATCATCCAATAATTAGTTGAGTGTTGCATTTGATTTAGATTTTGAAAAAAAATTAATCACTAATTATAGCTTCCAGGATCTGGTTTTTAGAAAAGAGTTTTGAGTCTATAAAATATGTTCATTCTGAAAGAGTTGATTCAAATAATAGAACTAGTTTAAAAAAAGGTTTTATTTTATAGTTTCTTTTTCTATACTAGATTCCTAATAAATCATTCTTTGTATGTGGTACAACTTCTTTAATTAGTTTCTTGACACATTTTCATTAATCAAATGATAAAATACTCCATATCATATTTATGTCACCTCTAGTTTTGTAAACTTTTTTATATAATTTTAAATATGCAAAATTTATTTATTTTTCATTTGAAAATAACTTCAGTGAAACATCATAAACAACAACATGCGACTTAAAATGGGACAGAGGGAGTGCAAATTTGAGAGCTAATCCTACGATGTTAAATTAGACGAGCTTTAATCGGATATACATTTTACCTTTTACGACAGTGTATCCGAGTAAATAACGCTTCCCCGAATTAAAATTTACACTTTTCATTTTTTTCTTTTTAGAGAAGAAATAGTGGGAAGGTTAAGTACTAAAGACTAGAAGAAAACAATGCTCCGCAGTAAGCACTGTTCTGGAAGTGATAGATATTTGAAAAGTTAAATGATTGCAAAACCAAGAAAGCTTCAAAGGCTATTTGGTTGGGGGGTAAAAAACTTCAAAGTTCAAACAAAGCACAGCACAATCTGAAAGCAATAAATTTCCAAAATGCATGAAAATAAAAGAGTACTCTTACCTTAAAGAAAATCTGCAAAAACCCCAGCAAGAAAACCCAACTCCTAGCGCCTTTACCTACTTGGAACGCAAGCCCGGAATGTTCTTAAGCCCCATCTTGCCAAGCACGAGTTTCGGGATGGCTGGAGGGTTGTCAAGCCCCATGCTTCTACTGAACTCATTGGCAAGCTCAACAAGCCTATACTTGTCCCCTCCCACGCTCTTGTTCGAATTATAGTATCCAAGCCAAGCCTGATAAGCAGCTTCTTTGTTCTTCATCTCTACCAGAGACAAGGCCTTCTCCACCTTCCTCTTTGTCTCTGGATCAACCAGAGGAATTCCAGCCTTTGTCATGGGCAAATCTTTCACTGTCGATAAGAAAAACTCTTCCCAAGGCGCCAACATCAATACCCCTTGTCCTTCTTTACCCTTCCTCCCTGTTCGTCCGAGTCTATGAATGTATTGTTGTCTATCAGATGGGAGCCCAATTTGTATCACAAGGGTAACATCCGGATAATCCACTCCTCGCGCAGACACGTCAGAAGTCACCAGAATAAGTCCTTTGGATTTCCTAAACTCGTCCGAAACTCGGGTCCTGTAGCTTTGGGGTTTCCGGGAATGGATTTCTCGTACGTTCAAGTTCAGCTCTCCAAGAAGCTGTGCCACGAGTCTAGTCACCATTGCAGTTGTGCAAAAGACGAGAACTTTGTAGTTGGGATCATCTGAAATATGGTCTTTTAGCATTGAATAGAGAAATGAAAAATGTTTGTCTAAAGGGGCAACCAGATACATCTGTTGGACCTGCGCGTGTGTCTCTTCACTCCCTTCCTGAACTGTGTTGACGAACTCGTGGTCTCTTTTTAGGGCAATGTGAGAGATGTGACGTACCTCTTGAGGGACTGTCGCAGAGAATAGGAGCGTTTGGCGATTCTTTGGTAGGGCTGCGATGATCCTCTCAATGTCCTTGCGAAAACCCATGTCTAACAAATGGTCGGCTTCGTCAAGAACCAAAACCTTGACACCCATCAATCTTGTCGCGAACCCAGACGTGTTCTCAATATGGTCTTTGAGCCTGCCAGGTGTGGCCACAAGGATCTGGCATGGATTGGCTTGCATCTTTTTCTGCTCCAAAGCAAGCCTTGTTCCTCCTATGACAACCTGAACTCCAATTGTGGGGTGGTACTTTAAGAGAGAGTTGGCTTCTGCTGCAGCTTGGCTTGCAAGTTCTCTGGTGGGGCAGACTACGAGGACGAGAATTGGAGAGAGTTTTTGGTCGCGAGTTGATGGGGTCGACTTTAAGACGATTTCAATGGAGGGAAGTAAAAAGGCTACAGTTTTGCCAGTGCCAGTTTTGGCCTTGGCAAGAACATCTTTTCCTTTCAGAATGATGGGAAGGGTGGCTTCTTGAACAAGTGTCATCTTCTCATATCCTGAATCTTTGATTCCTTTTAGTGATAAAGGTGAGAGTGGAAACTGATCAAACCTTGTTTCACTTAGGTATGAATTAGTTTCCCCTTGTGGGCTTCTTGGCATTGAAGCCCGTGAAGACGGATTCGTTTCTTTCTCTACAGCTTCTTCTTCTTCTTCTTCATCTTCTTCTTCTTCTTCCTCACTTTCTTCCTCGCTGTCTAACAAATCACCGAACCTTTTATATCCATTATCATCCTCGTCGTCGTCATCATCATCATCATCTTCATCTTCATCTTCATCTGTCATCTCACCAGCACCATTTCTTCTCTTTCTATCCCTACGGAATCCAGAATCGAACTCATCCACGCCCCTCTTTTTCCCTCCTCTGGTTTCGACCTCAAACCTTCCACCTTTCCTTTGAAATGGCTGCATCCTGTCGGAGCCCGAGTTTTGCCTATCAGGCCTACCTTCATTCCCGAATCTCCCGCCTCTTTGCATTCGAGTGGATCCCTCGTTCCTCCCAAACCTCCCTCCTTCCCTTGAAAATGGCTGCATTTTCTCCTTGCCTGAATTCTGCTTATCAGACCTGTGAAAATCATCGAATCCGGTCTCTACCCTCCGCCTTCCACCTCCCATCTCTCTCCCCATCTGCCCTCCTCTACCACCACCTCCTCTCCCCCTTTGCCCTCTACCCCTTCCACTAGATCTCCCATCAAAGCCATCGTCGTCCTCGTCGTCGTCATCATCAACAAATCCCGTCTCTACTCTCCGTCTTCCACCTCCCACCTCTCTCCCCATCGGCCCTCCTCTACCACCGCCACCTCCTCCTCTCCCCATCCGCCCTCTACCGCCGCCGCCCCTAGATCTCCCAGAAAAACCATCATCATCGTCATCATTGTCATCACTTTCGCTGTAAACCCTAGTTTTCAAATAAGAATCTGACCTCAACCCGCTAAGCCAGTCACTGAGATCAGCTTCATCCTCCACCAGGCTCTTCGGAGGCCGAACATCGCCACCCCGGCCAGTCCTCCCTCCACGGGATACTCCTCGGTCAGACCTGGTCGAGAACATCCGGAGACCAAACTGGCCGGAAATGGACGGCGGCGGGAGCGGCAGCCTGAAAGGCCGGTACTTGAGCTTGTGCGAGAAGACCCGAGACAAAATGGGCGTGGCCCGACAAGGTTTGAACGGCGGTGCGGGCTTCATGGCGGAAAACACCGCGACGGGGTTACAGAAATTGAGAAATCGGAGGTGGGGGATGAGATTGACTGGCATTGATGCAGAAGAAGAATTTCCCAGAAATGGGTTTAGGGTTTAAGCCCCGGCAGTAATGGGATTATTTCTTTTTTTCTACAGCGAACTGGCTTACAGAGTTTCATAGAGATTGAAATAAAAACGAAATGAAAAATGTCTCCCACCCCCTCCTTATCCACTAAAAAAGACAAAAAAAATTTAAAAAAAATAAGTAAATAAAAATCAAATAAAAATGTGTGGTGAAAAAAGGGTGGTGTAGATTTAGGGTACACCTTTTGGTGTACCCTTAGCATTGCTCAAACGAAATATACTCCCTGTTTTTGTATTTATAGCTTTCAAGATTATTTTTTTTCATAAAATAAAATGGTTATATATATCGGCAAATTATATTATACATCCGGTTGTACCCAATTTTGGGTACAATCAAGAAATTATTTATCCTATGAATTTTATTTTACATGAGAATGTATACTATGTTATTTGAGAATGAGTATTTTTTTGTTTCAGAATGAACATTAAATTATTTGTAGATAAATATTATAATTATATTGAACCAATATGTGAAAATGAGTACTGCATTATTTTAGAATAAGTACCACGCTATTTATATTTGTCCGAGAATAAGTACTTCTTTATTTCAGAATGAGTACTACCCGGATGTACCTATTTCTAAGTATATCCGGTTGTACCATATACCTTCTCATATATATCACACTTATTTTATAAAACTATTGATGCACGAAGTAGTATTCAGTTTTATTTTTAATTTTAATATTATTTTTAAATAAAATAATTTTAAATAAGATGGAGTTTTGCATGTTAAAACAAAAGTGCATTTTGGCATGGAACAAAAGGAGTACTAAATTTTAAAAAATCACACTTATCATTTTTCGATATCCGAAAAAGCTTTAAAAAAGTAACCTAAATAAAACAAAATATCATATGCTATATTTTCTAAATAAGATTGTTTTCATTTCGAAATGTCTCTCGTTTAAGATTGCTTGTTGATATTATGGAGTAATATTTGACATTATAAATTATACTCTGGTATAAAAACATTGATATTCATATTTTTGTATATGAAATACTCCCTCCGTCCCAAATTATTTGCAATCTTTGCTTTTTCAGCAGTCGCGGAAACTTTTGTTCATTTCTACGTTTTCATTGGTTATTTGATAAAATAAAATATTCTTGACACTTCTTATTTCGAAGAACTTTTAATGTAGTTTTTTGATATGTAAATTTTATTTTTTATTTCTATACCAATATGTAAATAAAATGAATTGAAAAAACTTGATATTTTGCCTCGTGAATACAAGTATGACAAATATTTATGGACAAAGGGAGTATGTTTTAATCTTAACCGGAAGTTTCTCCCAAACGATATTCCCACTTTTTTTCTTTTTTTGGTAAAGAAGTATGCTGTCCACTATACTTCTCTCTTTTCCAAAATAAATTCTAACCAAGTTTCAATTATTCAATATCTTTTCAGCATTTTATTCCAAAATAAATTCTAACCAAGTAATATTCATGAAATCTAAATGAAAGAAAAAATCTTTTATGGTATGTCTGGGAACAGAGATTTATTTAGATTTCAAATCCGAATTTGGCTCAAATTCTATATTTGGGAAACTTTAAAATTTTGAATTTGAATTTGAGTCAAATTCTTTTCATTCATAACAAAACTTAATTTGAAATTTATGCACCTCCCCTTGTCATTTAAAATTCAGAATTTCAAGTTTTAGAATTAAAATGCATGAATTGAAATAAAATGCTAGTTGCCAAACACTACCTTAGGGAAATATATTGTATCTTTATTTGGAAAACATAAAGAAGTCAAGTTTGCAAGCAAGAAAAAAAAGTTGAACAACATTTCCAATTAGCTTTGTGTTTTAAATAAAAGTTTAATGGTGTAAATTAACTTTAAAAACACTAAAGCTAAACGCTATTATTAGATAATATTTTCAAAACGATAACGATAAACGTTGGAGTTGTTCCAAAAACACCCTTTATCTACAAAACTTGTGTGAAACATAAAGAGAGACTTTTTTTTATCTACCTGATTTAAGTGTACACACTTAAGCTCTGTAATAGACCAAGAAAATGGAAAATCTCTTTTCTTAATACAACAAATTAAATCATAGAAAACCCAGAACTTGTCATCATCCGTGAAGAACTGCAAACTCTTTTGTTTGATCTCACAAGAGAAAAATGGAGAAGAAAGGAAAGGCACAGTAGCATCCCACCATCGAAGCCGACTTTGTTTCCCGGATCAAAGCAGGTTCAGTTTCCCCGTAATGGAATCCACCGCCGATTTACTTCCTGCGCGCGTTAGCCTTCAGATTTTAGTTAAAATTACTATGGACTCCGAACTCCGGTTACCGGATTCTAGATTCCAGTTCAAATTAAGACAAAAAGAACAGGTCATTAGTTGGAAAAGTGCATACCCGGCCCCACAGCAAGAACGGTTTTTGAACCAGAAGCGACCTTTGCAAAACAAAAACACCTTTGATATCATTTGACGACACACAGACACCACGCAGACAAACAAAAATGGTTACCTGAGTACGCCCGGCATCAGCAACAACAAAGGTGGGGAGACCTATGCTCTCAGCTGCTTCCTTTACCTTGTTCCTACACAAACGGTTAAATTCTTGTCGATCACGGGAAAAAAAAGGGAGTGGTCAAAGGAATGGCATTGGTTTAGAAGGTGCTTACATTTCTTGCTGATTCTTGCAGGCCACGACTATTTTGGGCTGCCCACAGACCTCCCATTGTCTCAACAGAGACCTATCACTGCAAAACCAATGTTCATCCCAATTTATTGATTGTGCTATTGAAGTGTAGTGGTTAGAAACCGACAATAAAAATGACTACCTTCGTCCCAGAATAAATGTCCAAGGTTGACTTTCACGGAGTTTAAGATAAATGATACTTTGCGGTGGAGATTTATGTAGAGAAAGAGAGATAATGTGAAAAAAATGATTCTGAACCACCTTAGCTTAGCTTTTTGAAAAAAATGATCGTTGAGTACCTGGACATTAGCTCTGAGTACATACCGGTTGCAGCATCTGCATATTTAATATGAAAACGATCTAGAATTAAAGGGAAAAAAAACAAGAAAGTGTTCATTTAAAAGATCATTGAGATGATGTGCGGAAGTTGCAATCTAAAACTATAAATGCCGATGATAACTTACTTACGTGCACATTGGGATGCAATTTTCCCTTGTCCCATCTTCAAGTCTCGCCTTACCACCAAAACCTGTTAAAGAAGTTCTCAGATTAGGAAACATATAGAGCCTAGGTTATCAGAAAAAAGAATGGTCTGAATCTACAAACAAACAACACCTACACTAAGTCCAAAGTGGACTCGACATTGTTCTGAAAGATGAATTGATTCCTCACTCCAAGGAGTACATAAAAACGTTTTTTTAAGTAGTCTTGATCATTATACAACTTATCTCAAAAAAATCATTATACAAAGGTATATAATTTCAAGGTGCAGTATTCTTCAACGAATATTCAGCTACAATAAGTTCCACAGTTCCAAAACATAATTTTCTTTCTTGGAAGGCCATAACGAAAATCATCACTGAGAAAAAAATATTACATAGAAAGAAAGAAAGCACGCACGATATTTTGCAAAAAAATGCATTAAAAATATTAAACCGATTTCTCAAGAGTTATAGGGTTTTGGGGGTGGGGTGGCCTCTTGGAAAAGCAGAAGTTATAAGTCTTAAATCTTAATCGGAAAATACTTCCTCCTAAATTTGCAGAAAAGCACTTCTAAAGCTCGATTTCCACTTCTAAAGCCATAATCCATAAGCTAAAGCAATTTGTCAAATACTCGAAACTGTATTTTGGTGAAGTGGAAGCTGAATGATATTCTCTAACACCATCCCAAACACCCTCTTACTTAGACAAAATTCTATCTAAAAAAAACTGAAAAGAGCATGAATTTAATCAATGAATGAACATAAAGCCAACTTAAATTCAACAATTGCATAACAAAACGAAAATAAACACCCAGAAAAACCAGACCAAGAAATCCCAGAGGAAAAATCACATAAACGGATAAACCCTTAAAAAAAAGATACCATTTTGAGCTCATGGTCAGAGTTAGCTGCAGCTGGGGTCATCGTCTTCTCCTTTTGGTTTCTGGACAACAGTCGACTCTTCCGAGTGAGAGAGCTATTGCCGAGATTTGTGTTCCTGCTGGGACCGGAGGCCTTCGACCAATCCAACAAAAGTCCGAGAATGAACCCGATTACAACTCCGGGTATGAAATTTTCGGGCCTGAAACTCACCCCTAGCCATTCTTTCTGCTCTTTCGACTGCAATTTTACAAGAAGATGAAATTCTGAAAATCAAGAAGCGATCCCAATAAAGATGGAAGAACAAAAGGATTGAGATTGAAATGGATGTAAAATTGGTTTTCTTTAATAGAAAAAGTTGCCTTTTTTGGAGGTCGAGAGTAAATCTGCATTGGTTCTCTGGTTGAGGAAGAAGATGATGACCCGCTGCCGCGCTGCGTCTTCGGGATTACTTCTGGCAGGGGGAGGGGCTAAGGTTCCAGCAGTCCAGTTACAACGACGGCGGCATGATGGATACGGCGTAGTTTTAATATTAAAAAAAAGTTCATATTCTTATTTTTTTAACAAGTGTAAAAATAAAGAAGTGTTAAATTATAATTTATTTTCAATTTTGCTCCTGATGTGATGGGTAAAGTAAAAAGGAATGAATAGATTATTAGAGAAAAAATATACTCCCTCCGTCCACAAATAAACTTTACATTACGCGGTACGATATTTGACTGAAGTTATTTTCAAATCATTTTATATGAAAAATGGTGTAGAATTGAAAAATAAAAATTACATATAAAAAACTATATCAAAAGATCTATAAAACTAGAGGTGACATTACTATATTATTTTATCAAATGGGTGACGAAAATAGGCCAACAAAGTAAATAAAGATTGACCCTGTGAATAGTGAACGTAAAGTTTATTTGTGGACGAAGGGAGTAATGTAATAGATATGATATGAAAAATTAAGGGTAAAGTGGTTTTTTAATAGAAAATGAAAGTGTTTTGAATTGAAAATAGAAAAATGAAAGAGGAAACACTTTTGAAAACGGAGGAAGTATTATTTTCCATTTTTTCAGGCTCTATGTTTAGGCGCAAAGACTATTGTACAATCGGATGTACCCAAACTTTGTTACAAATGGCTTCTGGGAACGGCAAATAGCACAAGAACTCAAAGGGAAAGTCGAGGGAAGTCGCGATCAATGGAGATCCAACACCCAATAGATCATCAAGACTCAAGAGTGTAGCCGCGATGAATAGATGAGAGCGGCGACAACAAGCTTGGTAGCGATGAGCCGATGACAGCCGCTCCATTGTAGCATCGACGGATGTGGCAGCAGCGACCCAACGCTAGCCGACGGCTCCTCTGTAGTTGTGACTCCCTGTGGCGTGGTGCGTGGTGGTGGGCTTCTTGAGTTACTGGGATGGTGGTCTGAGGTGACAACACTTCATTGTTTTAGAATGTACACTGAGTTATTTGAGAATGAACATTACGTTGTTTACGAATGAATACTGCGTTGTTTTAGAATAAACACGACATTGTTCATAAATGAATAGTATTATTATAATGAATTAATGTGTGAAAATGTAAACCATGTTGCTTTAAAATAAATACTACACTGAATCAAAATGAACTTTTTTAGTTGTTTGGGACCAAAATAATACGAGTAATATGGATACGAAAAAATGCAAAAAAAAAGTAAGGAAAAAATTTAAAAGTACTATAATCAATGCTCCATAGCTAGTGAGAAGAAGAGAATAGAAAAAATCACCCTAAATAGGACTAAAACACAGAGAAAAATACCAACATGGGACTTTCATGTATGTCTTTTTTTCGGACTTCACACTGTAACAATGTGATTGTAATGTGACACTGTATATGTGCACATTACTGTACTTTTTGGTAATGCACATGACCATGTTTAGCATGCATTTTAAGTCTTATTTCGGGAATAAAAACATATAAGTCCTATTTTAGTATATTTTCAATAATGTTTTAGTCATACTTTAGTCTTTGGGCCTGTTTGGGAATAGCGTTAGCGATTAGCGTTAGCGTTTTGAAAAAGCTATCTACGGGCAGCGTTTAGAGTTAGCGTTTTCAAAGTAATCTGCACCGTTAAATTTTTATCCAAAACGCTAACGCTAACCTCTAATGCTATTCCCAAACAGGCCCTTTGTCTCCTGAGAGAAAATGCTTTACTCACAAATTACAATCCCTCCCATCGGCCACGACAGCTAGGCTATAAGACGGAACCATGAATAACATGTCATCTCTTCTTTTCTCTAGCTACATGATATCTATTATAGGAGTAGCACTCTAAACGACGTAGTCCCGGTGTTTAGCTAGGACGAGGACGAACGAGGCACCGCGACCAGACGTTGGGTTGTCGTTGTGAACTCGATGGAGTATCGTTGATCGATCGGTACCGGGCTTGGCGACGATAGGCGTGTATTATGCTTATCACATGATTTCCAAAACACATAACATAACACTTTTGACATGGAGTGTGATATGTACTTTTCTTAACAGCAAATGCAGTGTCGTCCCATAATTGGCTGCCATTATATCCCTGTATTAATTATTATCTCAATTGTTTATTGCAAGAGAAGGAAATAATAGAAGCACAACTTCTAATTATAAGAGTTAAAACTAATAATAAAATTTATGGCAACATAAAGTGATGTAAAGTGCCATAAAAATACTAGTCACTTTAAAACAATTAAAGATCACTTGCACTATTTCTTGGCCTGCATTTTCATGCCATCTTGGGCAACCCAAATGTAATGGTAGAGTCTTGGTAGATCCAGTTTGAAAGCTTCTCAATTATTTACAAAATAAATTATTTTACGGGGATTACTTAATAAAAAATGGGTAATTTACCTAAATAGAACTAAAACGTAATGATTTTCTATTGATTATAGGACCATTGATCATTATCTATTAGTCATTATTCAAGAAAATGTCAACATGACATTATTCATCTCATTAGACATTATTAAGTACTCCCTCCGTCCTAAAACTTTCTTCCCAGTTTGACTTTTCCCCATTTTTAATTTTTGGTTTTGACTTCAAATTTTACTCTCCTTAAAAAAGATTTTTTGCAAATTTTTTTTTACAATCATTCAAAATATAGAGTTAGAAGATAATTGGTGTAAATAAATGAGGGTATTAATGTCATTTGGTAGTTTTAGGACGGAGAAAAAAGGGAAATGGGAAGAAAGTTTTAGGACGGAGGGAGTACCATTTAGGAAATAAAAATGTTTAAGTTCTACATTGAGAAATGACTTATCTTTTAATCTTATTTAGTACAAATTTCACATAAAAAATACTTTATAAAGACTAAAAAGAAAGATCACTTACTATTTTTCAGAGGTCAAAAATAAATTTGAATAAAAAATCATTATGAGCATTTGCTTTATTAACGAGACAAAGTCAAGATGGATTGGCAATCACTACACTACTATCCCTCACGTGTCCCTCAAAACTATTCAAAGTATCTCAATCTCCCCATAGCTTACCCTTCCCAAGGGTATAATAATATTTTCTCCCTTATACTCCCTACTTTATATTCCGTATTTTTAAAAAAAAAATTCTTTTAGTCCATAATAGAGCCCCGGTCAAACTGAACATGGACTCTGGCGACAACGTTGCTTCATCATCCCGGACGGCGGACCGAGAGCCGCCGCACGGCCGTCCCGGAAAATACATTGCACCCACGCAGCCGCTTGCCGACCGGATGCTCCGTGCCCTCCGCCACCCTCTCCGCCTCCTTCACCGCTCGGATTCATTTTTCTTCGTCTTGGGCGCCACCGGGAACGTCTACACGGTGCACCTCGCAGCCGCCGGAAAATCTTGCGACTGCCCCGACCGTACTGCGCCGTGCAAGCACATACTCTTCGTCATGATTAGGGTAATTAATTAATTAATTAAAACCTTCACATTTATAAAAATAGGTCAAACATATTTTTGATCCCTCTAAATTACCTAGTTTTGTTTTGGATTCTCTAATTATTTTTAATTTAATCATCTATGTAAAATTATTATTTTTGCAAAAAAAATATCCTCCTCAATCTAAAATTTATAAACTTTATTATTAGTTTCTCCAAAATTCTTCAGGGGTTTGACAATACATGTTCCAATCCAAATTCAAAATTTTTAAATTTCCTAAACATAAAATTTGAGCCAAATCCATGTTCTCAAACATACCATTGGTTCATTCATTCAAATTTACTTTGTATAAATTACGGAGTACTAAAGAATTCAGACACAATTAATTTATATAAAATGTACTTAATTACAAGATCAAAACTAATTAAATATTTTAGATGCTTAATTAAAAAATCCACAGAGTATATTATAAAGACAAGACATAGATAATACTCCTAAAAAGTTTTACAAAAAAGTACTCCCTACTTCCCACAAAATCTTTTTCTTTTCCTTTTTCATTCGTCCCAAAAAACTACTCTTTTTCTATTAAAAAGTCACTATTACCCTTTATAGTTCTTAACCTACATATCACATCACACTTTTTCTCTTTTAATTTATTCATTACACCCTACTTTATTCATCACATCAAAGAGCATTTTTTGAAAGTAAATATCAAAATACACTCTCTTTAAATCCTTTAAAAGTCAAAATGTAAAGTTTTTTTCAGAACGGAGCGAATATTAATTTAGCAAAATGTTTTTGTTTTGCATTAAAAGATTATGTTTCTCTCTCTGTGTATTTGTTTGGTGTTTAATTTTCACAAAATATAATGTTAATTGAAAAAGCTTTTCCAAAGATAATGTGGACAAAGATTAAAAATTGACAGGTGCTAGGTCTTGGCCAACACGATGCATGGATATGGAGGAAGACTCTCCGGCGAAGCCACCTCAATTCCCTCCTTGGCTTACCAACCTCCGCGGACGCACTCGCGTCCGCGGAGGTACGGGAGAAGTTCCACCAGCTCTTCTCCCGTGAAAAGCATGCGGAGAGGCGGGACGCAATAGAGATCCGGGACGGGGCCGCTTGCCCGGTCTGTTTGGAGGAGATACGGCGGGAGGAGGAGGCGGCGGCGGAGAAGAGGATAGCGGCGTGCGGGACGTGCAAGAACCCGATACACACGGAGTGCTTGCGGGCGTGGAGGAAGAGTAGTAGTCGCCCGAGGCGGTCCGCCGTCTCCTGCGTCATCTGCCGTGCACGGTGGCGCGATGCCATGGCGGGGGAGCAAGAGCCGTACCTTAACTTGTCGGCTTATGTTGCCGGCGATCGTATATTGGCCGCCGCCGGGGAGAGCCGCGGTTGTGGGGATTAGCAGCTTATTAATTCATTAGAAATATCATAACCATCAATTCATCTTCATCATTAATTGCATGTACATTCATAAAACAAAGATTTAAGTCTAGTCTCGTATACAAGAAGTCCCTCCCTTGCATGATTTTCTTGGCATTTCATTTTTTACCATTTCTAATTTGAGTATTAATATTTCTATTTATATATAAAAATAAACTATAAAAAATATTATATTTTAAAATTACACTT